AAAAATCGGTTAGCATTTTCCCTGTGCACCAGAACTGGGAAGAGGGAGACAGGGGAATTCTGGGAGAGTTGCCGGTAACTGGTAGTTCCACAATAATTCATCTAAATATTAAACCTAAATCCCTTTTGGATTACTTGATGCAGCCTCAGCTTGGTTTTTTTATTTTGTGGTTTTTTTATTTTCCAGTTGCTACAAGAACATTACAAACAAGGGAACGAGAAAGCAGCAGAGAACAGAAGTCTTTGGAAGAATTATGCTGGGTAGCAACTTTGAAGTTGCAAATTGCTGAGAAAGTGATTAGTATTTCAGCCCCCCCCTCCCCCTGTGGGTGTTAGCCGGTAAGTAAGCACTTTTATAATTAAAAAGAAGTTGGAGGTGAAAGAACAAAATAAACCTTGAGATTTTCCAAGCGCATCATTTGGGTAAATATTAGATATTCCACCAGGAAGGAAATGAGGGAGGCTGGAACTAAATATTCACTAGGAACAAGATACTGTGACGACTTGAAGAGAAGAAGAGATTGGATTTATACCCCGCCCTTTACTACCCAAAGGACTCTCAGAGCGGCTTACAAACTCCTTTCCCTTCCCCTCCCCACAACAGACACCCTGTGAGGTAGGTGTGGCTGAGAGAACTCTGACAGAAAGTGCTCTTTTCCAAGAACAGCTCTGAGAGAACTTGTGACTGACCCTAGTCACTCCAGCAGCTGCATGTGGAGGAGTGGAGAATCAAACCCGGTTCTCCCAGATTAGAGTCCACACAATTAACCACAACACCAAACTGGCTATACAAAGAGGGAGCCATACAAATTTGTGAAGGCCATCAATGGCTTTTGGCTATGGTGGGCAAAGAGAACCTCCATATTCGGAGAGGGTATACCTCGCAAAATCTGGGAGGTAACACAGGGACCTCCCAAGCTGGGCTTATTGGCCTCTCCAAAAGGTGTCTTCTACAGTTCATATGTTAGAGCCAAAGTCGCCCAACTTGAAGAGCCACACAGAATAAACGTCAGATGTTTGGGAGCCGCAAGATATGAACAAGTATTACACACACATTTAAATTTTAAAATAAGGAAAGAAGGAAGGAAAGAGGGGATAAAAAGAGAGAAGGAAAGAGGGAAGGAAAGAGGGAGAGAAACAAAGAAAGCAAATAGATGGGAGGGAGGGTGGGGGAGGGAAGGAAGGAGGGAGAAAAAGCGTGCCTCCCCTTCACTTCCCCAGCTGCCCTGCCGGGAGCCACACAATATGTGCGAAAGAGCCGCATGTGGCGCCCGAGCCACAGTTTGGCCAGCCCTGAGTTAGAGCTTTCTGATACCCTCAATAAGAGCATAAGAGACGCCAATGTTGGATCAGGCCAAAGGCCCATCCAGTCCAACACTCTGTGTCACACAGTGACCAGAAATACCAGTGCCATCAGGAGGTCCACCAGTGGGGCCAGGACATTAGAAGCCCTCCCACTGTTGACCCCCCCCCAAGCACCAAGAAGACAGAGCATCACTTGCCCCAGAGTCCCTATTTATACCTTGTGGCTAATAGCCACTGATGGACCTCTGCTCCATATGCCTATCTAATTCCCTCTTGAAGTCGTCCATGCTTGTAGCTGCCACCAATTCCTGTGGCAGTGAATTCCATATGTTAATCATTCTTTGGGTGAAGAAGTACTTCCTTTTATCCGTTCTAACCCGACCGCTCAGCAATTTCATGGAGTGCCCATGAGTTCTTGTATTGTGAGAAAGGGAGAAAAGGACCTCTTTCTCGACCTGCTCTATCCCATGCATAATCTTATAAACCTCAATCATGTCACCCTTCATTCCTTCCTACTAAGCACAGGCTAGATTTACTTCCTTCCCGGACTCCAATGCAAGAGATTTAAAGCTTGCATCCTTAAGGATGCTAAAGATCGTGGATGTTTGGATCTAGTGAGGGGAATAAAAGGAAGGCTGCTAGGGTTGATAACCTCCAGGTGGCACCGGGAGACCTCCTGATATTACAACTGATCTCCAGACGACCAAGGTCAGCTCCCCTGGTGAAAATGGCTGTTTTGGGAAGTGGACTGCGCGGCGCTCTACCCCGTCAAAGCCCCTCTCCTCCCAGCCCCAAACCCCGCCTTCCCCGGGCTCCTCCTCCCCCAAATCTCCAGGTCTTTCCCAACCTAGAGCTGCTACCCTACAGAGTGCCAATCCTTAGAGGCTGTAAGGAAACAGTGGACTGGAAGCCAATGGGAGGAGATAGTCAGTCCAAAGGGGGGAAGTATGTTGGGATTCTTTAGCACACGGGTGGCCACAGGGCTATTTTTGGGCAGGCATGCACAGGAACAGAGTTCCGGCTGGCTCCCAAGTTGGCCACACCCAGCAGGAACTCATTAGCATAATAGACCACACCCAACAGCAGGAACTCAATTGGCTACAGTAGGGGTGTGTGGCCTAACATGCAAAGGAGTTCCTGCTACAAAAAAAGCTCTGGGTTTTGACAACAAGGTAAACAGAATAAGAAGCAAAAGGTGGGTGTGGCTGAATGACCACACTTCTGGTAACATGGGGGTGCGGCCTAATATGTTAATGAGTGTCTGCTGTTGGGTGTGGCCTATTATGCTAATGAGTTCCTGCTGGGCTTTTTCTGCAAAAAAAGCCCTGGGCGGCCAAACGGCAGCCCGGGAGCCACATGCGGCTCTACCACGCATATTGTGTGGCTCCTAGCAGGGCCGCTGGGGAAGTGAAGGGGAGGTATGCTTCCCCGACCGGTCTTCCCTTCCCGAGCCAGTTTGTACAAGCTGTTCCAACGCCCCCCCCCCCCGGCTTGGAGCAAGCATTTCCCTCTTTAAATATCATTACCAACATCTCTTTTTACCCCTTTTGTTTTTATTTCTGGCGGTCTTATTTCATGTTCACGTTAATAAAAAGCAAATCTGCACGTTTTCCAATTTAAAACGTGAGTATAATATTTGTTCCTATCTGGCGGCTCTCAGACATCTGATGTTTCTTCTACGTGGCTCTTACATTAAGCAAGTTCGGCCACCCTTTCTTTAGCAGTTGGGCTGGAAGGCTAGGGAGACACTGGGGGAGGTTTCGGAACACTTCGAGGACAGGAAAAGTATAGGTTTGAAGCGATGAAAGGAACGTCCGCAGGAAGAGAGGTAACCTGTAACATCTACTAAGTATGGGCTACTGCGAAATGTCTGTAATTTTCAGACACCACCTTCTGAATGTTGCCAAGTCACTGCAGGGACCTGAAAGGCATTTGAAGAATCTAAGTCAGGCATGTAAATGCTGCAAGGATTCCGTCCAGAAGGGACTTGGGTCCTACCTGGACAGGAGGACAAACCGCAACATGAGGCAAAGGCGGCCAAAATGTAGCCAAGAAAGGCTTGCCGAAGATGTCTCGGGGAAATCAGAACGACAACCTCCCCTTCTTTCCCACATAAACACTAAAGTAAAGGTAAAGGTTTCCCTTGCTCGAAAGCCAGTCGAATCTGACTCTAGGGGGCGGTGCTCATCTCCGCTTCCAAGCCGAAGAGCCAGCGCTGTCCGAAGACTTTTCCATGGTCGGGTGGCTGGCGTGACTTGACGCCGAGGCACACAGAACGCTGTTACCTTCCCACCGAAGCGGTACCTATTTATCTACTTGCAATTTCCAGCCCTTAAAGTTTTTAATGCCAAATTAGCTGCTCAATTATTCTACGGAGTACCAATCTGTTTTAAACTGCCCAATGGTGAAGCTGGTCTCGGTATCTCAGAAAATGTTGAGCAAGAAAAACCCTGACCACAAGCCAAAGCCCATCTTAGCAGAAGTTTCTTCCTGCTTCCTTTTCCAGAGGCTGGGGTCAACAAGGTCAGGGCAGCTAGAAGGCGAGTGTGGTGGAGTCGTTAGACCAGAACCTGGACAATCCAAGTTCAAAGTCCCCATACGGATATGAAGGTGACTGGTTGACTTAAGCCAGCCACTCACTCTCAAGTCTAATCTACCTCACAGGGTTGTTGTGAGGAGCAAATGGGGAAGAGAAAACCAGATGCATCACCCTGAACTTCTTGGAGAAAGGAAGAAGAGGGGGAGGAGGAGGAGGAAGAATGGATTGGATTAATAACCTGCCCTTCATTCGGAGTCTCAGAGTGGTTTACAAACTCCTTTCCCTTCCCCTCCACACAACAGACACCCTGTGAGGTAGGTGGGGTGAAGAGAGTTCTGACAGAAACCGC